GCAGTAACCCGGCTGGCTGAAGCAATCTTACAGGCATTAATCATTATCAAAAGCTCCATTAAATTGTCATTGATTTCACCACAACCACTCTGAACAATGTAGACATCCTCTCCACGTACACTCTCGCCAATTTCCACACTGTAACGGGGAAAGAAAAACAACATGAAATATGTTTTTAAGCACTATACACTCAGCCCTCCTCATTGTTGGGTTCCACATCCATGGATTCAACCAACTGCAGATCATAACCACACCGAAAATATTTGAAAAAAGAATTACACCTGTACAGAACACACAGACTTTTTCTGGACATTATGTTTGTTTGTTTGAGACAGAATCTCACTTTGTTGCCCTCAGTAGAGTGCCTTGGCATCATACCTCATAGCAACCTCAAATTCCTGAGCTCAAGCAATCTTGTCTCAGCCTCCCAAGTAGCTAGGACTATAAGCACCTGCTATAACACCTGGTTATTTTTTTAGAGACAGGTCTCATTCTTGCTCAGGGTGGTCTGGAACTCCTAAGCTCAAGTGATCCACCTGCCTCAGCCTCTCAGAGTGCTAGGATTACAGGCATGAGCCACCATAACTGGCATTGTCATTATTTTCTAAACATACAGTATAATAGCTATTGATATAGCATTCGCACTATATTCACACTTATAATACCTAATATTATAAGTAATCTAGAGATGATAAAAAGTATACAGGAGGATGTGCATAGTTTATATGCAAATACTATGTCATTTTACATAAGGGACTTGAGTACTGGGGGATACTGGTATCCGAATGGGTTTCCGGGACCAATACCCCTTGGATACAGAGATAGCTGTACAATACTTCTACAGACAGTAAGTAAAGTCTAAGAAGCAGAGCTTCAGCTGGGTGTGGTGGCTCACGCCTGTAATCCTAGCACTCTGAGCTCACAGGTCCCAGACCAGCCTGAACCAGAGAGACCTCAGCACTAAAAAACAGCCAGGCGTTGTGGTGGGCACCTATAGTCCCAGCTACTTGGGAGGCTGAGGTAAGAGAATTGCTTCAGCCCAAGAGTCTGAGGTTGCTGTGAGCTGTGACGCCACATCACTCTACAAGGGCAACAAAGTGAGACTCTTTCTCAAATAAATAAATAAATAAATAAATATTAAAAGTCCATATGCTACTGTCCTAGGTGCCAGGGAAACAATGGTGAATAAAACAGAGGTGGTCCTTGCCCTCATTCTATGCTAACTATTTTGGTCCAATCGGTGAGTCTTTTTTTTTTTTTT